CCCAGTTTGGTGGAAACAGCGCACGACTATTGGGAAAACCCTAATAGTCTATACTACTTAAAAAAGAATGGCAAGTTACGTTTCACCTTAAATTGTTTACTTTCTCTTTCAAAATGAATGCACATCGGTCCATTCCGAGTGATCTCCGACAGTTTGTTACTAGACAGGCTATAGGTTAAATTTGGTGGCCATTTTAAAGTACATTTGTTTCCAATGAAAACGTGTACATAACTCGTACTGACAGGGTAGCGAGGATAGCCTGAAGTCTAGAGTCTGGAGAAGACAACGAAGAATGTTCAGTTTTCGAGGTGGGAGAGTAACCCGGGAATGACATTCCAATAAACATGTCGATATGGGTTGTACTCGAACCCGGGACACCGAGATGGAAGGCAAGTACACTTTGGTGGATTCTCCAAATCTACCTCAAGCTTCCCTTTTCAAGATCGGTTTACCTGGAAGGGTCGACTCTAAGAAAATCTGGACCGCTAGCGATCCGCCATTCCTCTCACTCTTACTTGCGGTTGGTGTGCTGACGCAGGCTGATCCGCACAAGATCCCACATTGCCAGACCGGATGCAGAGGGTGCTTCACTCTGGAAATGGAATCTGTTTGGGGGTGAACTAATGCCTTCATGTTTTAGTAATCAGGGTTAGCCATTCTATCCCCACTCAAAGGGTCCTTCCGTTGGAAAATATTCAATTGTTTATCATCAAGACTCAGTGTCTCAGTCCCACTCCATTGTATAAGCAGAGTATGGTTAACATTTAGGAGGAGACCATTGTGGGCTCAAATTAAAGATTCACCTCGAAGTGGCATCAAATGTCAAACAAACACAGTTGGAGTGGTTTTACCTCCGCCCGTGCACCAGCGTGCTCCTGCTTGCATTGCTGGAGTATATTTTCTTTTCTCCTTCAGTGAATCACGGGATAGTCCTGTCAATAAATAAAACCCGCAGGTTCGAATAAACCTTTTTGCCTCGCACAAAAGTGTAGAGACAACCTAATCCCGGATTACCGTTGCAAGAAAAACAACGTTTTAGTCTCCTTGTTTGCTTCGGCTGCCTATGGGCAGTTTTAATTTCGAAACATTCCTATTATTTTTTTTCTTTCATTGTTAAATTGCTACTGGAGGTCGGAAAAGTAATAATGGCTGCCGATTTTAAAATGAGTTTATACTACCGCTCACTGGAAATAATATTTGTCCATCTATATTCGGTTTCATTCCGACCCCATTTTGATTTTACGTCTGTCCACTCGGCCTACAAACCGCCACAAAAGAAATCCAGAACCAGAGCAAAAACATTAACAAAACATCGTGCCGGGGGAAAAAAAGTTTCGAGTTCGTCGACTAGCCGCCATCGCCACGAAAGTACTTTGCTCCGCAGATGGTCTTTTCATCCGGACAGTATTGATTTCGCGGTCCTAGTTTGAATTTCAAATTGTTGTTCATTCATAACATGCAAGTGGTATATCCAGGAAAAATACCAATGCCATTCATCATCGATGCTTTTCTAGTCAACATGGCAAGAGGCAAAAATAGATTGAAGTCGGCAGGTCGAAGGTGGTTTTTGTCCGTTTCAAATTTGATGCGGCGCCGTTCCAGGTTCACGTCGACTTGACATGGAAAGATGCCACTTGCAAAGCGTTCTCGCGACGACCGCAACCTATTATTTTGCGGCAGTAAAAACACTTCATAAAAGACACGCCTTGATCATTGATATGCTAAAATCACAGGACATTTTTTTCATGGTACTGTATCACATCGACCCGGGCAAAATTTCAATTTTGTTAACTAAGAAGTTAACAATCTTTGAACATATCGAGAAAAGTTGACATTAATTATCGCAACATATATCAAGCTAAAAAGTATATTTCACACATGATGGATCACACTTACTTGTTATTATATTTGCAATTACGCAAATAAGAATTTAACTTGCATTTTTTAAACTGTTAGTGTAGGGTTTAAGAAGTTGTTTTAGATCTTTAGTTCCGCGTCTGGAAAAACCTTCCCCAAGGAGACGATATCATCGACTGACTTGCTTAGTTATCAACTGATATCATGTTTGTCTCCTGTTCTATAACTCCCGATTGTCAGCCCGTGGTAACAGTACCAATAGGATTCATTGCACTTATTATCAGTGTCAAAGTACTGTTTCATTCCTTCTGGAGTTCTCCACAGATGTTACACGGATAAGGCAGCCATGTCAAAAAAAAGTACGATGCAGGATTTGAACCGACAAAAATCTGTCACGATTACACTGGCTCCCTTAATGCATAATACATAAGACTGGATTGCAAACATTCTAGGTCAGTCAGTGGCTTTGTTTGGGGCCAATGAGGAACTACTTCCTTTTGCGGTTATTCCTTTTCATATGTCCTTGAAAAATTTGAATGATTTTTTGAAATACGTACAATATTTCTTTGATTCCTGACGTATCATATAATACACTTATAAATGCCTTAAACAGTGATACCAGTATTGATAAAAATTGATATCTAGTTCATATACCAAGCTCGTTTTTGTTACCTTGATTATGTTTTGATGCATTGTCACGGCCCTGACTATTTTCTTCATTCGAAGGCAAAAAATCGAGCAGCGTGACTATCCTTGGTGCCGGAAGGTGAAAGCTTTTAATAAATAATAACATCCCGACAAAAGAAGATGGAATAAGGAGGAAACATAATTTAAAAGGCACATATTACTAACGAACGAGGGTACTTTAAAGCCCCCTTAAATCAAAACACTAGATTCGACATCACGAGCACCTGATCCAATTAATTATGGTATGTAGATTCGGGCACGTTTTTGACATTACAAAATACCAGAATCCATACATGACGGAGAGTATCAAGGATATAGTTCTCATTCAGAATCCAGCTTATATCAAGCAGATCGCAGTAGAAGATACAGAAATGGGTTTCGTTACAACCCGATGGGAATTGAAAGATTGACGTCTTCATTTCGCTCGGTTCTATATTTTAATCAAAATCTGGCTATTTATGACATTTTGCCTCGTGAAAGACTTTTTAATTTAGTTCGTATTCACTGGATTTTTCTCCTAACCTTTTGTACTATCCCTTGAGATGCTCATATTTTCCTTGCACCCATCGTCAAAAAACTCCCGGGACACTTTAAAAATATAATAAACGAGATGTGCCACTCATATCGAAACATGGAGGCTGGAATTTGGTTTTGTTTCATGATTTTCTTCTTCGAAAATATGCTGGTAAGAGATGATCGGTTTTGACATTCCATCCTCGGATGTTGTTTTTCTAAGAATATAAGTGGTCGTTGGTCATTGGCCCGTGAATGTTGACAGCAAAGTACACACTCGAACTGTAATGACTGGAAAACATAAAGCTACCATGCACCAAGTTCACAACAGCCATATGGTGAGCTAAGCATAAATTTGACCTTTTTCGATCATGTCGAAATTATCATTTTAAAGAGCATTTTTAAACATCACGATCGAATTTTACTTTTGATAAAGGTATAAAGAGTGTTTTTCAATACATGTACAGCACGAATCAAATCAATGATTTTAAGACGTACGTAGCACTCTCCTCGAAATAAAGATATTTGTGTCTACCAATGCTTCCTGTTTAAACAGTCAAGAGGGGGACATTTTTATCAACTCTGTTGCTTTTTCCTTTGCCCTCTTGCATATTTTGGTGTGTTCAATTCACCCCCCATTTTGCAGTAGTACAAACAAGCAACCATTTAGCGTAATGTGTTCATTACATCAGTATCGAAAAACGCCAATGTACACTTTAAAATTTCAGAAACAGTCTTCTGGCACTATTAGAAAATGTAAATTTCAACTGTAACAAAAACCGCCTTTATGTAATTTTAAGTTTCAGATTGGGACTCGGACCTCTTGCCGTGACAGGCAACCACGACGCTGGAACGAACGTGCTTCCACATTCACTGGTCGGATTATCAGCGTGCACATATCAACATTGTCATGGCTTGCACCTGTGGGGATAGAATACGCTTATTATATTCACTCCTGCGATTTGTCATTTTGACGTCTAGTGAGTTTTACTGTTTCTTCTTAATTCAGAAAACCACCCATGTAGTTTGAGAGATATCATTTATTGTGTATAAATATATCTTCTTGACTATTTCCCAAAGAAAAGTTTCACAGGATGTAATTTAATGGGAATTCTTCACAAAGACATGCCTCTTCTCTTCTCTGTTCTCTATACATCCTTAATCCTCGCAGAATTACAGATTTGTGCTTGTCTGTTCCTATTACCAGTGCCATTTCGTCTTTGAGAGAAAAATTATGACAGCGAAATGTCACCAGTTTGATAGTCCTGTTGGATTTGTCGGATTTGACCCGGAATCCGGGATCCATGGGGCCTGACCCCTTTCCGGGTAAAAAAAAAGATATTTTTTGGGTCAAAAAATGTCACTATGACCCGGAAAAAGTGTCATTTTTAACCCGGAAAAGGGTCGGACCCCATCGGACCCGGAGTCCGGGTCAAGACTGATTCGGGACTTTTAGTCCTCACATAGTCGCGAAAATCTCCCAATAATTAATCAATCTGGCCTCTGCCTTGCTTGAGCAGGCTGTCATCAAACTATATTAAAAAAAATCTCCGAGTTATGAAACAAGGACGATGCAGCCCAAAGGTCGAACAGACACTGGACGGAAAGAATTATACCAAATAGGCCGTACCGTAATCCGCCGTCCCATTCAATTGAAACGTGCCCCAGCCACTGTCTTACTTGACCAAGCTGAAAGACTAATTGCTAAACCAGACATGTGTGGCCACCCAGACGCACAAGACACACTAGATTAATTGTCCAGCGCTGGTAATCTACGCACAACATTTATTAATTTGGTTTCTCCGCATTATTTTCTAATCAACTGGCCGGTTGCTCAATTTACTGACATCCGTATACAAAGCTGTACACGAAGGCCAAGTCTGTTTGTTCTGATCTAATGAGTTCTTGTTTTTCTGATTCTGTTCCTCTTTATTCAGATTCTCCTTGAAGATTCAAGAAAGCTGACGTCAAGTAGATTGTAACTTGCTGGAGCATTCCACACGGATGCTGTTTATTTGCCCTTTGAAAATCAAGATGAAGAATTCAATACCAAAACCAAGTAGAGGTATTGTCTTGTAAGTTTTTTTCCTTCTTTTTATATAGAGAACAATTTGATATTTATCACGAAGATACTGGAGACAATTGTATTTATTTTTTTTTTAATCACTGAAAAACAGTCACCCCATTCATGCTACAAATTTGATTTTCATCTGAATTAGTTCAGAAAAACTATGGACTATTTTGGTACTCTAAATTGAAATGCGTTTTAATTCTTTTTACGTGGATTTGACAAAAGAGTGAGAACTTCTACCCATGGTTGCAAAGTACGCTAATAAGATTTAAAAAAATCTAGGTTTTGTTCTCCGATGTTTAATTTGGAGGTTACCAATTCTGGGTTCAAAACAAAAATACCCTGAAGTATTTGAACCCGACCCGCAAAAAAGCTACCAGGTCAATATTAAGCACCGTATGCCTGCAGTATGCGATTAGAATTTCCGTATGGTGTTCGGCCCTAAAGTAATTATAAACTACGAAATGAGCAAAATAATAGCAGCAGCGTGAGAGCAACAGATGTCCAGTCCTATATTTGATTGTTCTTAGGTTTACATACGAAAACCGGTAAATCGATTGTTGTTGTATAATAATAGGATTTTGAATTCAAGCCCTGTCCTCACCTATTTATTCTTCATTCTGGACCTTTTGGCCTAGAGCACTCGTCATGCAAGATATCAAACGTCGTGACGCATTTGGATGCTCGCTGAACATTATTGACTAACACCACGAACACAATCGAGGTCGTCCTCGATTTGGATCCTGTCCTCAATTCATGGATGATGTTGCACGTGTGTGTGTCCTTGATTTACACCATAAACAACCGCTGCGTGTCACGCTTCTGCATCGTGAAGATGGGTGGATTTTCTTATTGTTCGTGACAAAATGCGAATCAGTACCACACTGTTTGAAGTGGCTTGCACTTTCCCAGCATTTTAATTACATTTAACTAAAAAGCATTAGCGAGTGCACTCAACCCCGAATTCTAAATTGCTTAATTAACTATTTATTACCTAAATGCGACGCCTTACAACCATTCCATAAAATAAAACATGACTTATATATGCCAAACTTCAACGCGGACCTTCTTTTTGCCTTGAAAAAAAAAAGGTCATTAATATTATCCAAGGTCTGTTTTTCCCTCACCAATTAAGAAAAACCTCCAGAACTATAACATTGACCCAGAATCCGAAGAAATTAACGGACTCAGTTGATATATATACCTTTCAACTGGTGTTTTTTATGTCTAACTTGAGCGCCATTTCTATAGGTTAAGGGCGATGTTTGTTCTTACGCTTATGTCAGTTGACAATGCCTTATGTAATATCACAGCAAACAGTTCCCTCGTGAAAAAAAGAATAAAAACGAACCTTTATAATAATGTGAAAACGTATTGTCGCATTATTTTTAAAAAGACTTTTATGCGCAAAGTAACAATCGGCTTTAGACAAAGTCGAAACAAATACACCAAATGATATTTGGGTTGGTAGACTGTTTTGCTTTATTTGCTGTAGTTCATAAGCTTCACATTAATTACCCACATTTTACCAAAGCAAGACCACTGAGCTGGGTGCCCCTTTGAAACGGAGCCAACACAGGCTCCTTTGCGTCTGTGCCGTCATTGTCTGACTGAAAAACATATTTGTAAAGCTATTAGAATTTAAATTTCCATTAACTAGTCGTTTATGCCGCAGCATGGTTGTTTTTCATGCATCATTAAATGTATTTAAATTGGCTGCGTATTCATGATTCACAAACACACTTTAGTCGGGTGACAATAAAAACAAAAAAAAGAAATCAATAATGGTGGCACAAAAAGGTTGACAATATCCCGCCGATAGATAAATTCGTGTATATTGCCAGACTAAATCCGGCTGGGCATGTGCATCAAATTAACGTGATTCGTTAATGCGTTCATACAAGCTTCAAACGTCAAAGTACTTTGAAAAAAACATTTAAATAATGCACAACTTTTGGCAGATTGGAAATACAAGTCGATTAGGATAAGGGAAAAATGCTGAGTCCGAGGAAATTTTCCATGTCTACACTTGTGTATCAATACACAACCGAAACTAAAACACTGAATTTGAAAAGGCGTACAAAGGCCAAGAGCTCACTGAGCAGTTGAAATCATACTTCGTGCATTCATTGTCATATAGCGTTATTTGCATGCATGTTCCAACACTTAATCCTAGGACCAAAGTTACTCATTATGAACACTAAGTAATGGCCTCGTATTGCGATCGACAGAAAAGTCTATACACCAGTCTTAAAATTGTAATACGAATTTGATCATTGTTGACAAATAGAGTGGAAACCATTGACGTATGCTGTCATGTTTACACTGAATTCACAATGTAAACATTAATGATTTTATTTTGGTTATACCGTAAAACATGCTGTATTCCAGTTGCTGGTATAATTGCTGTAATTAGTGTTGGTATGCATTGAATAAAAATTGCCCGTTCTAAAGCAGTGGTCCGATTTCGGCTGCAAGTCGTTGTCATTGAATGCAACACAATCGTCGGTAAAATTGCGATGTTGAATGGTGGTGTTTGTAATTATTGTTAGAAAATGTACTGCTCTTTTTGAAGTGCTGTCCGTTAACCTACTTTCCTTTCCGGTCGTTAAAAGGGTAGCAGCGTTAAGTCCACGATTTTATTGTCTATGTAGCTAACCATAAGAAGGCAGTTACTCTCCAGAAACAGCTCGAATTCGATACGTAAAACGTAAGCGTGCAGGTTATTAGAGGTTGTTTAGTGGAATTATCAACAATAAAAAAAGCGTCTGAGATTCTTGTTGCAGACAGCGAGTTCAGTTTCACACCATTGGACGTCACTATACCGTTTTAATTCCCAGCGTGACGTTTACACCGCCAAGTCACGTCGGGCGTTTACGCTACCAGGGTCGTTTGTGGCCAAGTTTGTTTTCACAAGGCCCCCCGCTCTCATCAAATGTTTTCAGTGTTTATCAACGCCCGGCAGGCTGCGACGGGACGGTATGCCCCAAGTTCCAACACTCCAGGGGAGGGTGGGCCCATCGCCTCGTGCCGATATCACCCCGCGATGATGGATGAGCCTGCTCGCATCGCTTGATAAACGAGGACACTTTACACCAGTCCCCGGTGCTTAAAGTATTCCTATTTCATCGAGTCTTCACGGGAGCGTGGCGTATCGTGACCCGAAAATTGCCGCTCAATCAATCTGCTGTAACCCTGTCCAAGGCCCTGCTGTCACGCCTGAAGAGACAAAAACAGCAGAGTTAGAGCAGAATTATCAAGACGTTAGTAGTGTGTCATCCGGCAGATGAGTCGCATGCAGAGTTGACAGTATATTCATTTTTGACAGTAGAAGGCCTAATACCGAAAGTAAAAAACCCTTAAATCTGGGTAAAAAATTACAAACTGGCTGTGTATTAGCTTTGCAACTTTTTCCCCCCACAAACAACATGTTACCTTCTATTACGACAATCAGATCGGGGAATCCTTCGCTGTTAAAATAAACTAATTTGGGTGTTAAGGTTTTGCTTTTCAACCGAGATGTCTGTTTCGTGGAACATGAAGTCACAGGAAATGATCCCAACATTATTAACTCAGTTTGAATGTCTTATAGCAGAAGACCAAACTAAGAAAGGAGGGTTTGGTAAATTCAGTTGGGCCTGAAACAGTTTATTTCTACTGTTTTCTGATAATGAAACCAAGGATTCCTCAAAAGCGCCCTTGGCACTGTAGCTCAAAAGGCTGAAGAAACATGTAGAGAGGAGACAATGAGAACAAATGAAAATAATTTTAAAGCTGGGAGGAAAACCCCAGAAGAATATTCTGGGGAAAACCCACGGAATCAGGTAGGGACTGAAAACCCAATCCACACATTGGTCCAGGCGGGATTCGAGCCTGGGTCACAGGGATGGCAACCTGACTCCCCAGTTATACCAAGCGTTGCTCCTAAAGGCATGGCACCTCTCGGTCATTCCATCGCGAACTTGTCCATACATTGATGCCAACTCTGGATGTTGCCTTAAATTCAGAAAATCCCATGTTGTAATAGCACCACAGAGGTGGTATCCCGTTAGCGCTCGTGTCGCACGCGCGCACTCATACACAATATGTTCTAGTAATACCCACCTAGTGTAGACAAACCTGTGAAAAAAACTCATTTTACTCACACTGTGCAAACTCTTTCAACCCATTTTTATTCTGTGATTCCCTTTACTATTTCTCTTCATTTTGCGACGGCCTAAACCTAACTTAATAATGCCTCTAAACCTGTTTTCCAGAGAGGGGGAAACCTTGTGTGGACGTGGGCAAGTCCACACAACGTCGCAGCTACCTGGTTTATGTTGATATCTTTTGGTCAGAAGTCCACACAGTGAATGTAATGCTTGTACAAGAGTGCAAATTTAACCTTATGTGGGACAACTTTTTGTCAATAGGGAAACCTCCGATAGGTGATTGATCTAAAAACGCACCTTCATTTGCCTTGCTGTAGATCATTTATTGGAGTCCAGTATAGAAGTGGACTTCGTGTTTTCAATCCAAGAGGTCGGACGATTTGTCATAATTTCAGAAGTTAACCCTCTCTCAATTTTTTTTTCGGACACTCAGACGAATCGCATATTGGTATACCATGTAGGCCTACATTGTCCTACATAACCTGTGGTCTCCAAGTGTAGTTTTACCAAAATCCTAACACCTGCTACGTGATAACTATGCAGTTGTCAAGTACAATTCACTGAGCCCTATTTGCATCGCGATTGGTATCTGCACATGATTTCACCCTTTTCCCCTTAATAATGTAGTACGGGGCCGGAAACAATTACCTGCACCTTGGTCCATCAAAAACAATCTAAATGTTAATTTTGGTAACGCATTCGAATGGACGTCAGCGACGCTTACGTGTGCTGAAACACTTGTTTGCTTTCCGAGTTAAGTCTAATCACTTTCACGTATTGGTCCGGTGCACTTGGAACTTTGGCATTCTACAAACGCCGTCATTTGCCAAGGTAATTGCGTTAAAAGTGGACGTGCTTTTATTTCACCCAATAGTAACACTTGTTTGTCTTTTCAAGGGATCGCAGCTTAAAATTAAATTGAATTAACGAACTGCACCGAAGCATTTTCAGTCTAATGAAGGCCTTCACCTTCGGGTAAAAGGTATAGACATCTTTCATCTTATAAGGTATCCATCCCAATGATTGTACTGAATTAAAGGATGGTTTTTGAAATCCAAGATTGCCTTAGAACCATTACTCCATTACAGAAAACCATAAAGAAACGCTTGGAAATATATTACTTGACTTTTTCTGTCATTGGCAGCCAGTTTGGATTACAACTATGAATATTTGGTGAAAGGCGTGACAACTTCTATTCACCAAAGTGGATACTTGATATGTTCAGGCACAGAAAACATGCTCACTTCACAAAAACGTATTTATAAAAAGCACGAATAACACAATTATGTGGTTAATAGGTTATTTAATCGGTTGATATGACGAATAATTTGACAACATGTTGACGCAGACAAACGTTTGGGAAAAGTCAGAAAACACGTATGCTGCTCCGGTTGACGGCATCAAGAATATCAGAGAAAGACACATATTGCCCGAGGTCCTGTAGGCTTAATGATCTTAACCCTATGACTGACATGTTCTCCTGCAATTTTTTTTTCATAACCATACCCCTCTCCTGCTAAAAATGTATTGCCTTCTTTATATTGCTCCCTGATCGCCCAATTAAAATGCATTTAATTTGCAGGCTATCGCATTGCATGTTTTAATCCCCGTTCATGTTGTTTAGTTGGCCCAGGGGAGAGCGCGATAACCGCGCCATGAGACCACGCTTCAAATTAAGCGGTACCAAATTACACACTCGGGGCTAAAACATGGCCGCTTCAAATTACTTTGCGCTTTACTTTTCATTCCTCTTTTCCTACCCTTCATCCATAATGAATGCACGTTGCGAATGGCTGGTCACAGCCAACGGGAATATATTAAGCCGTCGACTGCGACACACAATAAGTAGATGCCGTTTTATGATTAAGGTTATATTTTTGAAGCCAATAAATTTCCACTGTCGTGGGGTGCCACATACTCAATCATTCTTTAGAATTGTTCAAGTGTTAACATAATTCATTTTAGTGTTATTTTTTCATAGCGGCTCACCTGTTTATATTGATTTAAATGATATGACACGATAAGTGATATGTTTTCTTTAATGTCATACGAGCTGGAAAGATAACAGTGAGCGTCGAAACATGAACGTTGAAGATTGCCAGTCGTTGGCAATCGGTATACAGCTGTTGAGCGTTGTTGCTGCATTATATTTCTTAACACCCAAAACAAAACGCCAATAATACATGAGTCCTTGGAAACATTCATGACTTACATGTATGAAGAGAATTTGAACCGACACCACCGAATAGCCAGAGAAGCAATAATTCGCTTGTACCTCAAACATCAGTTATGATTAGGGCATCTTTGGAGTTCAGGTTCAACAGGACGACTTGCAAATTTCGCCACGCAGAGTTGAATGTAACCGAACTTTTCAAATACCATCATGCATAAGGTTCGTAATTGATCACCCGTTTGCATACGGCAAGGTTAAAACATTAATAGGAATTCATCTTGAATTGAAAATAGGGCATGTCGTGAGCGAATGCGCTGAAAAGAACATCTGTTGCATGTGTTGTTCACTTATGGTTATGCATGTCGATGCCCTTGCCAGCTGTTGTGCATAGATAGTTGGCCCCTGACGAATTGCATTTACAATTCGACTTGATAACTCATGAGCAACATGAAGATATTAGGCCTACATACTAACACGATGTTGTCTGCAGGTTTGGTGTGTTCATACCACAATATTATTATCAGCATATGACTTCATTAGTTCATTAGTGTGGGCTGTGGGTTAACACCAAAATCAACATTAATGTGAATCTTTGTGAATTGATTTGCAGCTGGACATTTTAATGGTTATTTAAGATCCTGGCCCCACGCGGAACATAGAGGGCGATCTATCAATTATTTACAGTCTAGTGGCAATAAAGGCAAAGCTTGTATAAATGCCTGCATTATGTTAGGGCGATCTAAAAAAAAAAACCAATGTCATCATACTCCCTCAAAAGAAAACACAATCACTTTAGCTTTGACAAAACCGATCCATAATCATAAACCTTTGAAGGAAAAAAGTTGCTTTGTTTATAATATGATGACACCAGTTATGTAGCTTGTATGTATGCAGTTTTTCTGGGCTTGTGTCAGCTTGGTTCTGAAAGTTTGGATATCGAAATGTATAAACAAAAATGTTCAATGCTGTTTTTGTAGGACTCTGTTCGGTAACGCTGGGAGTGGGACAAGAACGTTGGACAAGTTTCATTAACTTTCTGTGAAAAAAAACACCAACAATAAATTGCTAGTATATTGCATTGTATATTTGACTTGGACTACTAGATACTCTAGGAAAATATAGTTTATTATCATATATTTCATTTTCTGCAATAAAACTAAATAAGGATTCATATAATGAACGTATTTGTCATTTTCAGGTATTGGTACCAGTGGGTGGACGGAAAGTCACTGTACCCCGAACACCTGAGGAAACTTGGAGAGAGGACGATCGAGAGAAAGAACCCAAAACGATATTAGAGAGAATCTTTACCTTATCAGGTAAGGACTGAGAACTTTATACCTGCATGTGCAGGTCAGAATGGGATTCAATTTAAAGTCGCAGTATATAGATAAATAGGGAAGTGCGAGTTCGAACGTCGAAGTACCACTGCATCAATGTGCAGCACGGAAAAGAGAATGTATGGTTGTGTAACTTGGTCTTGAGAAAGGTGTCGATGTTCACTTTAAAAGCGAGTGATGCATTGGCTGCGAAACGGCCGTAAAGTCGGTGGCCTCATGACCAATAATCACATTGGCTTTTCTGTGATAACGATAATGTGCCGCTATCGATCATGTCTCATGGCCCGAACCATGCAGGTGTCGTATATAGCTATTGGCGTCATTGTGTGGTTAATGTTGTCAAGCTTTATCTTGCTAATAAACATCTGATATCATTATCACAGGTACTCACTGCATGCTCTTTCCCTTATAAAGTTTACATACTTACTGTATTGAAAGATGCTCATGTGCTTGTGAAACACTTCTGAAACATACTTGTTTTCGTCTTAATGCATATTATGAAATGTATTCCCTGTAAAAGGTAAAGAAGAAATTATGTGTATGTAGAGGGCAAGTATGCATGCACTGAATCTGTAACCGACCGATATTATTACAAAAACCCTTCGTGTTCACCTATCGAGGGAAGAGAGGAAAAGAAGGAGGTTGAACGGTGAATCAGATCTCTGGAGACAACTCCTTGGAATGCCCTTGCTACACCTGTCCTGACCTGAGCGTTGTAGGGGATTGCCCGGGGGAAATCATCCGCTTTTTCTACGCTACGCCGAACCCGGCCGGCTCGCCCCAATTTCAATTATTGCAAAGTGACAGGGCGCGCACTTCACTTGCCATTGCGACGATCGCGTCTACTCATGCCGGGAAACTTGCCCCCAAACGTCAACTCAAAATTGAGCATGCTCCGTCTGAGAGCATTGGCGGTCTTTACATAGGCGGTGTACAGTTTGCACAGCCTATTCCAACTGTGTCCCTGCTTGGTAATGTTCCATCTATCCGCGCAACACGTTGCTTCTAACACCCTGGATTTGGTTCCCAGTATTTGTGCTAAAACCTTAAGTCTGGCCTAACTCATTAGAGCTAATGGACAGTCACGTTCTTCCGGACATCGGAAGGGGGACGAAAGACGAGACAGGCTCTAGATCCTTGCAGTGAAACTACAACCTTCTTGCATCGGCTTAAATGACTCGGATGCGCGGCGTGCTATGCATCCTTAGATGTGACCCAGTAACCCCCATCCAATAAAAAAAAAAACCTACGTTGGATTTCTGACGGCTTTTACGCTCTTGCTGGTCGACTAGCTGATATTAAACCTATCGATATTCACGTCAAAACCTGTGCACCTATTGCTTAAACCTATTTACACAATTACAATTACAGACATCATACTGTGTACATAAGTGCGTGAAAAGATAAGGTCCTTTTCGTAAAGAGCACCAATGCTTATTATAATGGTTAACTGACACGACAAACATAATCTGTCCAACAATAGCATGTAACAGCTTCGGGTATCTTCAATAATAAAGTGATGCAAAAAGAGAATACAGTTTTTTGCCCCCCCCCCCAAAAAAAAAACACCCCAAAATGATGTACCTTGGCTCGTCACGATTGGCGACAGAATATACAAAATACCTCATACTTGGTAACGCCGTGGATAGATCTCGCGGGAATCCGCGCTTCAAACTGAATAAAATGTTGGAGACTTACAAATAAGTCATCTTTTTGGGCTCCATTTCTTGACGGGATTCTTTTATGATAATTTTGCTGGTTGGGACTCGGTCTGTGCCTTCTGTTCATGAGTCCCAGCTGAGTCAATTAGCCTCGAGTGCTCCACGCAGCTCGTCTCCGTCTGACAACCACCACCTTCACATTGTCTTCATCTACACGACGCGATGCTCTCTCGGAGAGAAGAAACACAGATTCCGTTGGCATGGTGACTGATCCAAAATTAGCCGCACCTGTCTCTTAGGACCAGGGCGAGTATTTAACTTGCCTCCGAGAGATGGTAGGAGATAGAGTGAAAAAAAGTGAGATAGAGAAGAAAAAGGAGATATTCGAAGAAGGGGTTAAGGAGTGTAATAACGTGTGAGTGACGGAAGAGAGGGTAGGAAGAGAGCCGTCGAGACCCCGGCACTTAAGATCTCAGTGACAACAGGGACTGAGTAAGATATGTCATAAGGGAAAATGCGCGAATAGAAAAGTATGTGCTAGTAAGAACATTATATAGCGCTTTCTCCCATAATCAACAGTAAAGTAAACCATATGTGTGTGTTATCTATCCATATTATACCGTATTAGGTCATCAGTGCTGGGTTCTATTGAATCGGCAACTTTTCAATAAATTGTGAATTCGATACGAGCCTTTAGTTGAAATTCCAGTAGAATTAATTGTACCAGATTTCAACCAATGCAGTTAACCTAGATAAAGCTCATCTTCAACCAAAGTAGATAATTCAGACAAAGCTCATTTTTACAGTATACTTTTTTTCAATATTTTTTTTTTAAAAGTATTTCATTTACAAACCATTTTGTGATTGAGAAAATATCTCATGCCATTTCTCCAGGAATAAAGATAAACATGTCTGAGAAATTTCGAGTTTTTGAGGCTAAAGGCTTTTAGAAACGGATAAAGCTGTGAGATTTTCAGTAAATCCACTGGGTTTTATGTCAGTCTAATCCTTGTAACACGATTCACAGGGTGTCTAATATGACAGAACTTATCTTGTTATCTTGACAAGATAGTTCGTCATCCTGATATTCAATCGTGCCAGGACTACAATCTACATCGTCATAAATAGCCTTTACACCTGTGTGTTTTCCCAGAATGTGTACAATTTCTGATTACTCTTGAGATTTAATTCAATGTTCATTTTTTCAAACCTTCATGTTGTGCTATGTATACTTTTCCTTATTTCATTCCATTCGTGTGTTTTCTAATGGAATAAATATGTGCTTGGCCGGTTTAAAAAAAGAACTTTTAAAACCGGCTACGGGCCTGGACGCGGATAATTGCCCGATCCGAAGGCTCGAAACAAGTCAAAAATTCAATAATTTCCAACGATTATGGTCACCAGTTTTGAAACACCCCTCTGGCCATGCTTTGGCATGTGCCTCACGCAGTTAGTTCTCAAAATCTCCTTATATGGAAATTGGTGCGCGCGCGGTGCGTACTTCGCGATGTGGCGCAGACGCAGCGTTTTTTTTACCGGCGGGTAAAAACCACCCACGTGACGGGCTTTTGACCAATAGGAATGGGTTAACTGTCTCAGGTATTTATGAGTTCATTTTAACAAGGCTGAGAGGCAGAGTGGGCATAACTAAACAAAAATAAATTCGATCCTCTCATTCCTCATTTAGAACCTTTGTAAATCCTGACACGTGACAGACAGGTGTTTGTTTACGTTGTGAAGATGATCACTTCGTAAGGTTTTTCATCAGTCCAGAATCAGTTATGTTTTTAGTGATTTAATAAAAGCTCGCATTTCATGTTTATGGTATTAATGGTACCAGGACCAATTTCATTCAACCAATATTTTGAATACCATATCACTCAGATATGCGTTGAATGTAGTCCCGGTGCTACCTATTTTGTTACCCCCGCTGTACTTTGATATCCAAATCCCTTGTTTGGCAATTGTCATCGCCCCAGTGAGTCATGACGAGTTAATTACAAGCCAAGCCAGACCACGAGGATTGAATGTCTTGTATCAGTCGTTTCATTTAATGAGATATCTGCTCAGACGTGAAACGAGGCTTTGGGCGGAAGATATTCAGCATTATATAGCCTAAATAGAACATAAATTCGAACACTTTGTCTTTTAAGTTAAGCTGTGAATGCAATTAGGAAATGTTTACCATAGTGTTAGGTTTCACAGGATTTGCTTCTGATAGTTACACTAGGCGGCGAGTTTTTTTTCAACATACCCATTTATTGTTTTTCTTTTTAATATACAACCGTATAGAACGACTGAACAACGACTAAACAACAACATCTTGAATAGTAGTATGACGGTACAAGGGTAAAACAAAGTAAGTCATTATACAAGAGAGGTTGAATTGCAGACACAAGGTTCGTTGATCGACGGAAGAACTTTCGAAGGAGCCAAAATGACCAGTATTTGTGAAATTACTCCATTAATCATCCCCTTTTAAACTCGTTTCCATAAGTGTGAAACTTTAGTGTTGCAAAATTAATTTTAAAAAAAGTTTATGATGTTATGCATTACCCGGTAATATTGTTAAATAATAATGATGGCGTAATTTGTGAAAGATTAGAAGTAATCTTAATCCGTTAGTATTTGCGTAACATAGTGACTTTGTCTACCCCCAATTTGTCTTTAAACATCAAAGTTCATCGCGATCGGACGTTATCATCCCTGCCCTCGTTACCAATTTGAGACCATTGTTTCGTACATAATCTATATTCCCGCCTCAATACCATTATTCATTTATTAGCTTACCATCTGCATCAATTCAACAACAACAAAAGTAATTACAGAGTTAACACGTAAAGGACTGTGTGCGGCAGTGAGCTGAGGAAACATTTTGGTACATTGATTATTACTTTATTTCAGCTTCCCTGCGTCCATGGAGGGCTGTTCACCAACATGGTCCGCTGCAAAAAACAACATCCGTTGGCAAGTCCTTCACGGTGCATTTGTGTCCTGCATTCGGTGAGGACTCCCACCTCTACGCGCCGAATTGAAGTCTGAAATTCCCAGGTGAGTGCCACGAATGTTCCTTCCCCCTTTTCCCCGTTCAGGTGATGAAACCGCCGCTGTTAAGTGCGTATTACACCTTGTCACTTGACGGTTGGAATCCGGCAGGCGACGAGTCCTGAATTCGTTTAACAACGATGTCCTAATTACGAGACCGGCCGTAGGGAGATGACCAGAAACCGCAGAGAGCCCGAAATGTCAAGCAGTTTACCGTCGCTAGAGTCTTCCACAGTTGGCAATAGAAGGCACGGCAAAGTTCCTCTGGCCGGCACGATCCCAGTAAAGCAATTTTCGTCGAAAAAACGAATGGCAGCCGGCGGCAGAATGTGAATGGAAAAACAAAGCACACGTCCAGGATTATTTGCGAGTGACAAACACTTTCATTTACATGTTAAAGATGGCCGCTGGTCATATATCGGAATTGTACCATGTCACTATTAGCGTACACATAAAAGTATAGTGGGAGAAAAAAAATCGAAAGTGAAAAATAAATTACATCATTTGGATATAACCAGGGGCTTACAAAACAGATCGATTTACCGAGTAAAAAGGAACGAATTGACGTCGTGCACAAACCAGGTTTTGGGTTTTATTTAATCCAGGTTCCATATCGGCCGAATAATCTGAACAGTTATCACAACCATGATGAAAATGGCCTGAAGTGTTTCTTTCCTTATTCCTCGACAATCCCAGTTAACACTTGTACTCGGGGCATAATACCTTTGAGATTGAAACCCTTTCTCCTTCATCTTGAAAAGTCCTTTTAGATTGACCATATCAGCCATTTTGACGAACAGACATTGTTTGTGGCAAAATAACACGGTGCAATATCGTATAGTCCAATTCAAATATTACTATTATAGCCAAACTTTCGAAGACACGCTTTAGCCTGTGCTGAAACAGTGAGTCACGAATTTCAGTCTCTTGACCAACCCCTTAATGGAGGCCCAAGTGCGGTTACATCAACATCGAAGAATTAGTGGGTCGTGTTTGAGAGCACATTTGCTGTTACTTTGAAGATACATTGAGAGGCCCTGCAGTTTATTTGATCAACATCGTGGCGATGTGGAGCGTGCCACTTTGAAAAGATGGTAGGGTTAGTGCTTATCTCATTATAGCTCTCTGCCATTTGCCAATTTCACAGTTGTATGATTGTGGGTCATCACATTTCATCTTCACAACACTTCAGGGTCCCCCTTGCCTTCCGAGTGCAGCAAAGAAACCAACGGTTGCTCTATAAGCAGGGTATAGCGAACAGTCTTTGTGTTAACGAGTCTCAAGAGTTGTATGCGTTGACACGTGGACGCCTGAGTAACCCCTTCGAGCTTTAAAGGTTCTCATTAACCGGGTCAGACTTTAAAGTGCATTTGCGTATCAGAAATTGAGGAATTATACTAGACATTCATCTTATATAAAAGCATTATCCTCAAGTAAAATATTTCTTTCTCTCTTATAAAATGATTTATTATTCACAGTCATTCACGGAATATTGTGTCTGTGATTCATCTGTATATAAAATTAAAACTGCCATATTGTACCTTTTCACGCCTCCATCACCATAGCATTTCTTGATTCTTTTGTTTTGTTCACGGAGAGCCGCCTTTATCCGTCGTGACATTCATCCTATGATTTGGTAAGGCCAAAAACAAAAGTCTCCGGTTTCTGGTATGCGCGCTCGTCGCCGTAGCCATGCGCGTCGGCAAAATGAAAAAGTTTTGTTTTCAATGAAAGATGATGTCTCAAAACCGCCAAACTCACTGGTGTGACTGGAATCCTGCTGCTGCACAATTTTAACGTGTTTTTACATTGGGTTATGATCGAGAATAAGCTTTATGTGGCCTCTCTGGACTCCCATATATTTGCACTAAGTTTAGTCTGGCACCATTTGCAGTCATCAACCACCATTTGAAGCAAAAAATCAGGTAAAAAAAAAAAAGCCGCGTCGCCGCACCACTTTTTGGGCAAGCTCCATACCAGAAACCGGAGACTTAATTTTTTTTGGCCTAAAAGGGGATAACCTATTTGAAGCATTTCAGGTCATGTGAAAATAAGTGGCGCTTTTTCACCTTACGACATAACAGCCCCCTTTGGGCGTGAGACCACACATATGTAAAATCCTTTAGGGAATTAGCAGGTTTTAGTATCGGAAAAGGTGTTTTGTGGTTCGACGCCAAAAGTAATTTCATTTCGTAGGTTGAATGTATTGAAGTTGATAGGGCCTACGACATTAACGAAGGCGAACTTTGTCGATCTTAACCTTCGTAAGGAACTTTTTGATCATTCTGGCCTAAAAAAGCTTGATATTATATTGCCCTATTTGGTCGTAGCTGTTGCTTGAATTGGGTCTAGAACATGCAGTCCCCATCGAAAGAAATTAAGGTCACGATACAGTCTTGTTTGTATAACCCCATTCCTTGATTGATCAAGATTGAAACCTGCTTCATCGCTTGACAGCAGTGGCATAACTACGGGGGGGGGGGGGGGACAGGTGATTACGTGCTGTCCGGAGGAAGTCTGTGCCCCCTGTGCCCCCAATCTGGAATTGCAGAGGTATACTGTACTGTTGAAATGATACGTTTCATTTGCCTTTAGAACCACCTTGAACAATTGATGCGCCCAAAGGTGTTGCAGTTGGTTCATACTCTATGTGGCCAGTACTACGTCAGTAAACATTCACTGCGAAATTCGCCGGCCTTGAAATGTGCTCATTGTTTGCGAATTCAACCCGCCGACGTCATAAATTCACGTTCGGGTTGGGAAGAAATAAGAAGGGAATTACGACATTATGATTTTTCTAAATGAAGTGAAATAAATTCATATTCCAATTTAACCGTCATTGACTTGTGGGAGTAATGACTGTTTCATTATTAAAGTCTTTAGCATTATTAAAGTCTTTAGCATTATTTGCTATTAATCCTTTGTTAAACCTTCGATTTACTGAGAAAGAAAACCTACGTTGGATATGAGAGGGACATTATAATCAATTTTTTTGGTTCTCAAGTGTCTGGGTTCCCAAGATGTTTTTAGGAAAAGGCAGAAAACACTCAAGTCATTTGACTGTTTTATTTTGATCATGTCAAAATATCCTTTCTCACCAAAATGAAACGGATGAAATGCTTTCGACAAAATCACTAATATATATATTAAAACATATTAAAATGAATGTACCAATTGATGCATTACTAATGTGAATACGATGTGAATTAGAATGGAAGTCTTAAAACAGTCGCCTCTGATAACTCTTCTGGTGTGTTATTTCTCAAATGCTCTCTGACTGAGCCAGCTCGAAATTATTCATGTTTTAAACTACATGTCAGATACAACCCCTTTTACTGGTTACCGGTATGGTATTAAAGCCTTGATAAGCATATATAATTATTATTACAACGTCCTGAATCAACACTCCAAATTGAAATACATGTAGGTTAACTGCTTCTTATTCACATTATCAAATTTTACAAACACATTATTCCAATCAGTTTATATACATGATAATTATTTACAATAGATATGTTCTAACTTGACAATATTCTGTATCAATACTCATTTGCCTCTAAACTTGCAAAGGGTGATAATTAGTGGATATCTTACGCATTCGATCGACTAAAACTTAAATCTTTCACTAAGGAATGCTCCTTATTCAGTTCATAAATTAACACTCATTCCAATTAACAAAAATATTTTTTTTCAGAGATTTGACAGTGAGTGTACCGCATGCATAAAAGCACCTGGAAAACATTGACACTCATCTTTAAGGTAACGTAGTAAGTCACATCAATCCAATTCGTCAATTAACGAAATTAAATCCCGAAACTAAACATTTCCTTTTCTAAACGCAGGCCGTGTTTGCGGGTCATGTTTGTCCCGCTACCTCTAAAACGCCCTCAATAAAATAGAGTGCACAGCGGCGATCGAGTTTATTTGATCGGGATCGTCGGTCTGTTTACAATTTAACCCCATTGTGAGGAAAGAGTTAACATTAATTAGTTATCCATTCTTTAAAGCGTAAAAGTATCACTTTGTTTCATATCAATTCAAATTTATTTTCTAGATTTCTGTTCACTTGCAAGTTAAGACATCGTACTTTTAAGTTAATAGTTTTGTCAGAAAGGCGGTGCTTCTCTGAAAGCGATCGATTTAAGCCTAAACTTGTTGCTTGACTTGACATTTCACAAGTTGGCAGTAGGAGTTCGTTCACCGCGTATCAAAAATGATTTTATACAAGTACTCCAAGTTAAGCAATAAATAGGGAGTGGGTACTTACAGGGGTTAAGGGGATACACAATACATTCGATTTCATTACAATCCATGAAAATGGTAAACGGGACACCTCAGCAAAACATATCGCAATATACGCGTTTAAATAATATTGTCTTGATGACATCGTTGCAATGCTGATTAAAACATATGTTTTTGTATTTATTAAGTTAATTGTCCTTGTAGATTTTTTTTTACAAAAAATAAACTGTAAATGTACCTTGAGTTAAAATTCCGGCATAATTTAACACAAAAATCCTTAAAAACACCACATTTTGTGAAGGTACTAAATAGAACGTTCTTAACTTTTTTAGATTTTTATTTAAAAGATGCAAGCACACAAGCTACTTTTCACTTGTATTTGACGGTTTTAGCTTCCACATTAAATACCGCACAATAGATTAAAGGTAAATCCTGACCAATTTCTGATTTAAAATAAGGCAGTGCTTAGGCAATGAATTTGAACGTACGTTTTGATTTTCTTCTTTTCTGTTTAAAACACTAAAACAATGAGTTCTACATGCAGTTAAAAGGGGAAATACTGGTAATAAAACACATTCAGCCTGTTCATGACTTAAACAGAGGGTGTTTCTTTAACATATGCCAGGCATTGGGACGGCACAGCAAACAAACAATGGAAACAAACTGTTGACAATGAGTCACTCCAGCGTCCGTCACCGGTAGGTATAATGTCCGTCTCGTGTCCTTTCTATATTTTCTTGTGTCAAACCACACCGATCAGAGTTCGGAAAGTTTCTTGTGTTTGGCAATTTGCGTACTTTACCTGTTTTGCTCGAGTCACCAAGGCACCTTGGGGTACAATTTGGGATCAGAAGTGCCATTGGATCCAGGCACTGCATGTTGCTATGCTCTAATAAAAAAATAGTAAGACTCGTGCTCGAGTGTTCAATAATTATGATCCAACGAGCAAAATGCGTTAATTTACAGTAACATGGTAGGTGTGAAATGCTTACCTAATATAAATCGGAATTGGTTTTTGTATGAACAAATTAAAGTAATTGAACACTGATGTCACATTGATTATTACAGTTCTATTACAGTAATACGTTAAGTTCATCACTCGGCATTTCGTCGTTTGTTCGTCGGTATTGGTTTGTACGGGATTTACCAAACTCAAAGTGTTGTCTCTTACTTCTTCCTCAGGCTCCAGCCTCGCGATATCTGGTCCCTTAAGTGGGAAACTCTGGCCCAATGTATCACATCCGATAGACTATATTACCTGTGACGTCATGCCGACAGGCAACACAGCCGGGCAACCCAAACATTTAGGCATCTTTTGCATGTTATTTGGCCCACATTAAGCAGTATATTTCAAGAGATATGCATGTATTGCAGAAGAAAATATCTTTAACCATTCAAAACATGTTGTGAACCATTTGACATGGCTTATCACATAGATCGTTTTACGGATAGCCGGCAGACCGGTAATGTGCAGCATAAAGCTTCACTGCATACTTGAAATCTATCCGTGAAAGGGCACACGAGACCAGATTATGAAGTTATAGTTTGGACATTAAAAGCTGATGAATGATTCTAGAGCCAGAGGTGACGCCGAAACCGGATCCAAAGTCTTAAGTTTGGTAAAACCCAATAGTCTCGGTGCCGAGAATGCTGATATGATGGAATACTATACGTGCGTCATGTCATACATCAATTTTAGCATTTGAGTATTGGCCCATCGGTGCGTGTAAGCTCTTCTATCTAAGTGGAACACACCACCAGAAGTGTTTACTTATGTACTTCCAGATAGCCAACTATTATTTCTCTTTTATCTGATACGTCATGATAGTTTAACATCTTTATAAATGCACTTTGGTATAATATTAGAATGGTCTGTCCGCACGCATGTGTCCGAGTCGAAAGTAAAGACGGAGTAGTCGGGGTTTCACATTGCGTCACTGTCACACTGAGTCATTACGCAGTACGCACTAACGAACAGACAGTGAGACGGCATACAAGACAAACACATATACCATGTCAAAACAACAGCAAGACAACTGGACGGATAAACAGTTGTGACAACATTTACCGAAATTGGCACGACAACACGACAGACTGGTGTAGCATGTTAACAATTAAGCCTGACTAGACGCGTAGCACGTGGTCCCTTAAACATTAATGAAATCGATCTTACCTTTATGCGAAACGAATGTGACCAAATGCAATCCTTCAGAAAGTAAGCCACTTTACATGTGGAAATCATTAATGTATTATAATATCGATTGTTTTAGCAACGCTGGTCATAATTTTCAGTTAATGTTGCAGAAAAATTGATTATCCTTTTGGGGATGGTACACACACACACGAAGCCCTTAAACATAGTTGAATATGTAACGTATATAACATCATATGAATCAGTTTTAAGTTTTAAGTAATTGTGTCCCATTCGCTTAATGATAAAAACAATGATACAAACAGTAACGTCTGCGTCTGTAAACGGTGGGCCTACATTCCTTTATGCCAAACATAATGAAATAGAAAGGGTGCATCTGAAATTATAAAGTCCATGATTAAAATGCAAATGCAAATTCTTAGTTCAAAAAGAGCCGCACTTCAATAACTCGTAATTGACCAATTTCTGATATGAAGTAAATTGAGAAACTGCCCTAATGGACGTCGACGCATGCTGCGCATATAAGAGACACACCATTAGAGAATAACTTTAAGCATGAATCACCAACGATTCCCAATACCACCGGATCATTACTGTAATCTGTCTGTACCATATTGTTCATGACCATTATCATTATATTCTCATAATGAACTCTTTGATCTACGCATTAATGGTGGATATACTCGAGGTAAAACACTGAAAATTTGCGAACGAGCTAGCCCTCAAAGCAAGTGTTAAACATTTTTGTGTCAGAAAATTTAAAAGAAACCAATAAAACATGAGTCTTTGCTGGGCTTCCCCGAATACATTGTACGTGACAATTCCGAATTATGAAACATGCTTTTTTTTCAGTTATTAATCGAATTGTTATACGGACTTGGGCGTAGCACCTCCGTTCCGAAATAGAAGCTTCCTTAATTCCTCATTTTTGTTGGGAACATTTACCAATATGGAGAAGTAATGTCGGCACTACTGTTTAGAGTTAAACACGACTTTCTTCACCATTAATGTTGAGCTGAACCCTTGCATCACAGGTACACCTCAAGCTGCAACGCATCATCTCGTGAATTCGTCCCGTGACTGCCGATTCCCGAATCGGCCACGCTAGTTTTCTTGACCCGGTCCCCGTTGACCTCCCCAAGCTCCAAACCATCGCTGTCCTTTACCGACCGGATTATTGAGTTCTTCTGAAACCCAACATGTCTTCCCGCGGCGTCGTTCATAATCTTCGGGTTGTCTGTGATGTTGGGCAGCAAGGGATCACTAGGAGTGGATTCCTCCTCTAGTCCATCTGTAATAAATCCTTCTTGGTCTGTTCTTTGCAGGCTGTCCATTGGAGGTGACCTCCGGTTGTTGTTCTGCGACACATCGCACAAGAAGTATCCGTCCTTATCGGAGCCTGGGTCTGAGGCGCCCAGGACACGCTCCGAGGAGCCGTAAGTATCCGATCCTGGACACGACACTTGCCGATTGTTCCGAGACAACCTGTTGAGTTTGTCAGGCGTGGACGGTGGGAAGCAGGACAAGTCGACGGCGTTAGGGCCGTGACCAGGGCTCTTCTGTATCTGTAACGCTCCTACGTTCTCGGTGGAGTCTGAGTGGGCATCCAAGGGAGCAGTTCTTTGGTATGATGGATCTTGGCCGACCAACCAGTAGGTAAGAAGCTCTCCTTTGCCTTTCATGGCAACAAGCCCACGCTCTTCTAGATCGTATCCTTCAAGGCTGACTAGGTTCTCACGGCACTGACCGCTACAGTGGATTTTAAGAGCTGAAAACCAAACCAAAAACACTCAATTAGGTATAAATAATGAGTCCCTCTATTCGAAGCTTATTAACTCCCTGAAAAATCTGGGATAGAATTGATAATCAAATACTAAAAGTCAAATGATGGGAGAAGACTGACTGATTCTACCGATTAAAGAAGATCATAGTTTATCTCAGCACGGGACGTAAAGCGTAAAGGCGCATTTTTAACACTTAGAATAAATGGAACATTGATTGAAACGTGCTGCATGCCCTATTTAAAAACGTCCTTTCCCGCTGCTGCGGACGTAACCTTCAGATGATAATTTTACATATAAAAAGTTTCAGTGAAAAAAATATGCAGTGCTCTCTATTACCCTCGTATTTACTAATAAAATAATTGCTGTTGTAGACTTATCCGGCGATCACATTCATTAGCCATTAATGATTAGCTATGCCACTCTCCTGGGCTCTAAAATTGTACGTGCGCAGTCAATGCTTCTTCAAGAGGTATTAAAACTTGACAAAACCCACGTGCACCTCAATTTGAAAACGCGTACTACCTACACGCGATCATGATACCCCCTTGGTAATCTTACCAATGATGGTGTCTGGAAGGATAAACAATATTTTTAGATACCAAAGAGAGGCATCTGTTAAGCAAATCAAGACATCTTTTTAACGAAACGACAATTAGATGAGAGCTCTAATATAATGGCCCAACCAAACGAGAATAGTATCGACAGAAATACCAGCATGTTATTCCAGACGGAGTATGCGTCAGTGAGTCAAGACCAATGCGTCAACGATCAGACACCGATACATCAGGCCCAGTCTAAGCAAGCCATCGACCCATTGCCATTTAGCATTAACTTACGCTGCCCATTAGATTCCATTCTTGAGGCTGTGTTGACTGTGTCACCGAAGAGACAGTACCGAGGCATTGCTAGCCCGACGACTGCTGCCACAACGGGACCTGCAATGGAAAGAAAAACAGTTGTAAAATATCCAAGGGCATTTTTATATCTTGTATCGTTTGAAGGTTTCTGTTCTAGTTACATCAAAATTTATTAACATGTGTTTTGGAAGGTTTGAATTGCTCTTTCCCGGTTGATAAGACGCGTCTCAGATGTCTTAGGATGTCATGTAATATCTCGCGGCTTTCGAATTGTTCTGTTCCAGTTACCAAGAAGCTTCTGAGGTATATTATAGGGAAGAGAAAAAAACTGCTCAATCATCAGATACTTTGATGCACATAGAAATGGTTCGTTTGTCCCCCTAAAGAAATCAGCGATTTTCAACGGGAAAACGCATCTTCTAGTTTGTTTCTCTTAATTTTGTGTCATGGGAATTTGAACTGGATTGAAGAGGCGTTCGTCTGTCAATTTGGAACTACCACGACCGATTTTATCCCACCACCCAAGCATCAGAATTCCCCTCGGTCGTCCCTGTGGTTTTCAACAATCTTCGGAAGTTGCTTTGGCATCCCAACCCCATCAATCACTTCGCCATATCCACTAGAATCCCTCTGACAAAGCTCCAGCGCGCTCTGTCCCATCCTCCACCACATTCTACTAGCTATAGCCCCATAAATCATTGGCAGTATCTTGTCATATTTGTTATTTTTTTTATACAGATGGTGCGAGAGAAGCCTCTTTCACCTGAGTGGATTCCGATGCGGAGTTTGAGGATTTCATCCGGCTTGTGCCTGATGTGGAACTCCTTGACCGCAGTCAGGAGATGCAGGGCCGTGGAGGCAATCTCCCCAGCATGTCGGATACCATTCCTGATAGGTAAGCCAGACACCAACATGTAGGCGTCTCCGATAGTCTCCACCTTGTACACGTCGTAGTAGCTGATGATGGCATCAAAGAGGGTATACAGGTCGTTCAGCAGGTCTACCACCTAAAAATGGAAACAGGGACATTCCATCAATGAATCTTTTGGGTAAAACCCATTGACAAGGTGGCCTCTCTAAGTCCTTTACTTATGTTTCGTAATTCCTGCTGTAACTACCTGTTCCTTACCCAGTTTTTACTTGTTTTTGTTGAAAAACTATGTTAAAAAATATATGTTATAAAAAAGGGTGTATGTTGAAGAAATAAAGATTTGAGAAAGTCGATTTCCCCTAGAATGCATCGAACTTTATCACGCCCTTTAGCCAATTTTGAAGGATTATACATGTAATTATATTTGTTTTTCTGCATTTAATATGCGTAAAAGCCTTTGTTTTGGTTCAGATTTTTGGCTCTTCCAAAATGTGCACGTACAGTATTTTTTGTGTGACACTTTTGAAATTTTGCATGTTCAGATCTTGATCAAACATAGCAAAAGGACCATATAGCAAAGTGAAAGTCATGTGATGTCATAATGTCACGTGTCATGTGATGTCATTTTGGAGGTGCAATGTTCAAAGTCCCATATCTTCAGAATTACAAACCCGATACCTACATAGACAGGAATGTTTTATAGGTAAAATGTTATTGGGACATAAACAGGTCATCATGTCATTTTGTGATATGGAATTTTGGGTTTATTGACCTTTTTCAGCATATCTCTTGAACGAAAGATACTAAATTGAAGTTTTGTGATATTATGTTCTTTAATTTTGGCCAAAAATTTGAATCACTTCAAACTCGCTAAAAAGATGCCTAAAGTACCCTTAATAACATTCCAATTCGATTTATGGACAGATCTGCTTTCCAAAAAAGAAATGTTGACAAACATTTGGGGTGAAATCAGTCAAAAAAAAGGTTTTTTTCCTCTAAAAATCAATGATTTTTGCCCAAATCTTCAATATATAGGGTGTTTGAATGCTGATTGATGTTCCTCTTGCCTTTAAAGAACTTATGCATAGTTTGGAGAAAATTCATTTGTTTTGGCCAAATTTCAGCACAAAAGTAAGGCTTACCCCTTGTGTTTTTTATTATTGTATTAGTGTAAGTTGCTGGAGAGATGCCTAAATGACCCAATAACACTTTCCAATTCGATCAATGGACAGATGTGCTTTTTAAAAAAGAAAAATTTCGGGTGAAATCATTCAAAAATGATATTTTTTCCTCTAAAAATCGATGATTTTTGCCCAAATCTTCAATATATACGGTGTTTGAGTGCTGATTGATGCTCCTCTTGCCTTTTAAAGAATTTTTGCATAGTTTGGAGAAATTTTTTGGGGGGCCAAATTTCGACAAAAAAGTAAAGCTTACCCCCTTATTTTTTTTTTTTCAATTTTGGTCAAAAAATTAAATTGCCTGAAAATTGCTGGAAAGATGCCTAAAGGACCTTAGAACAAATTCAAATTTGATTAATGGACAGATGTGCTTTCGAAAATGAAATTTCGACGAAAATTTGGCTTGCAATCAGTCAAAAATTACATGATTTTTCTCTCTAAAAATCGATGATTTTTGCCCAAATCTCCAATATATTAGGTGTTTGAGTGCTGATTGATGCTCCTCTTGCCTTTTGAAGGATTTCTGCAGACTTTGGAGAAAATTTATTTTTTGGCCAAATTTAGTCAAAAAAGTAAGGCTTACCCCTTGTTTTTTTTCAATTTTGGTCAAAAAATTAAATTGCCTGAAAGTTGCTGGAAAGAAGCCTAAAGGACCCTAGAACACATTCCAATTCGATTAATGGACAGATGTGCTTTTGAAAATGAAATTTCGACGAAAATTTGGGGTAAAATCAGTCAAAAATTATATGATTTTTCTCTCTAAAAATCGAAGATTTTTGCCCAAATCTTCAATATATTGGGTGTTTGAGTGCTGATTGATGCTCCTCTTGCCTTTTGAAGGATTTCTGCAGAGTTTGGAGAAAATTTATTTTTTTGGCCAAATTTAGTCAAAAAAGTAAGTCTTACCCCTTGTTTTTTTTTCAATTTTGGTCAAAAAATTAAATTGCCTGAAAGTTGCTGGAAAGATGCCTAAAGGACCCTAGAATACATTCCAATTCGATTAATGGACAGATGTGCTTTTGAAAATGAAATTTCGACGAAAATTTGGGGTAAAATCAGTCAAAAATTATATGATTTTTCTCTCTAAAAATCGATGATTTTTGCCCAAATCTTCAATATATTGGGTGTTTGAGTACTGATTGATGTTCCTCTTGCCTTTTGAAGGATTTCTGCAGAGTTTGGAGAAAATTTATTTTTTGGCGAAATTTAGTCAAAAAAGTAAGTCTTACCCCTTGTTTTTTTTTCAATTTTGGTCAAAAAATTAAATTGCCTGAAAGTTGCTGGAAAGATGCCTAAAGGACCCTAGAATACATTCCAATTCGATTAATGGACAGATGTGCTTTTGAAAATGAAATTTCGACGAAAATTTGGGGTAAAATCAGTCAAAAATTATATGATTTTTCTCTCTAAAAATCGATGATTTTTGCCCAAATCTTCAATATATTGGGTGTTTGAGTACTGATTGATGCTCCTCTTGCCTTTTGAAGGATTTCTGCAGAGTTTGGAGAAAATTTATTTTTTGGCGAAATTTAGTCAAAAAAGTAAGTCTTACCCCTTGTTTGTTTTTCAATTTTGGTCAAAAAATTAAATTGCCTGAAAGTTGCTGGAAAGATGCCTAAAGGACCCTAGAATACATTCCAATTTGATAAATGGTTAGATGCGCTTTTGAAAATGAAATTTCGACGAAAATTTGGGGTAAAATCAGTCAAAAATTATATGATTTTTCTCTCTAAAAATCGATGATTTTTGCCCAAATCTTCAATATATTGGGTGTTTGAGTGCTGATTGATGCTCCTCTTGCCTTTTGAAGGATTTCTGAAGAGTTTGGAGAAAATTTATTTTTTGGCCAAATTTCGTCAAAAAAGTAAGTCTTACCCCTTGTTTTTTTTTCAATTTTGGTCAAAAAATTAAATTGCCTGAAAGTTGCTGGAAAGATGCCTAAAGGACCCTAGAACACATTCCAATTCGATTAATGGACAGATGTGCTTTTGAAAATGAAATTTCGACGAAAATTTGGGGTAAAATCAGTCAAAAATTATATGATTTTTCTCTCTAAAAATCGATGATTTTTGCCCAAATCTTCAATATATTGGGTGTTTGAGTACTGATTGATGCTCCTCTTGCCTTTTGAAGGATTTCTGCAGAGTTTGGAGAAAATTTATTTTTTGGCGAAATTTAGTCAAAAAAGTAAGTCTTACCCCTTGTTTGTTTTTCAATTTTGGTCAAAAAATTAAATTGCCTGAAAGTTGCTGGAAAGATGCCTAAAGGACCCTAGAATACATTCCAATTTGATAAATGGTTAGATGCGCTTTTGAAAATGAAATTTCGACGAAAATTTGGGGTAAAATCAGTCAAAAATTATATGATTTTTCTCTCTAAAAATCGATGATTTTTGCCGAAATCTTCAATATATTGGGTGTTTGAGTGCTGATTGATGCTCCTCTTGCCTTTTGAAGGATTTCTGAAGAGTTTGGAGAAAATTTATTTTTTGGCCAAATTTCGTCAAAAAAGTAAGGCTTACCCCTTGTTTTTTTTTCAATTTTGGTCAAAAAATTAAATTGCCTGAAAGTTGCTGGAAAGATGCCTCAAGGACCCTAGAACACATTCCAATTCGATAAATGGACAGATGCGCTTTTGAAAATGAAATTTCGACGAAAATTGGGGTAAAATCAGTCAAAAATTATATGATTTTTCTCTCTAAAAATCGATGATTTTTGCCCAAATCTCCAATATATTGGGTGTTTGAGTACTGATTGATGCTCCTCTTGCCTTTGGAAGGATTTCTGCAGAGTTTGGAGAAAATTAATTTTTTGGCCAAATTTTGTCGAAAAAGTAAGGCTTACCCCTTGTTTTTTTTTCAATTTTGGTCAAAAAATTAAATTGCCTGAAAGTTGCTGGAAAGATGCCTAAAGGACCCTAGAACACATTCCAATTTGATAAATGGATAGATGCGCTTTTGAAAATGAAATTTTGACGAAAATTTGGGGTAAAATCAGGCAAAAATTATATGATTTTTCTCTCTAAAAATCGATGTTTTTTGCCCAAATCTCCAATATATTGGGTGTTTGAGTGCTGATTGATGCACCTCTTGCCTTTTGAAGGATTTCTGCAGAGTTTGGAGAAAATTTATTTTTTGGCCAAATTTCGTCGAAAAAGTAAGGCTTATCCCTTGTTTTTTTTTGAATTTTGGTCAAAAAATTAAATTGCCCGAAAGTTGCTGGAAAGATGCCTAAAGGACCCTAGAACAATTCCAATTCGATAAATGGACAGATGCGCTTTTGAAAATGAAATTTCGACGAAAATTTGGGGTAAAATCAGTCAAAAATTATATGATTTTTCTCTCTAAAAATCGATGATTTTTGCCCAAATCTTCAATATATTGGGTGTTTGAGTACTGATTGATGCTCCTCTTGCCTTTTGAAGGATTTCTGCAGAGTTTGGAGAAAATTTATTTTTTGGCCAAATTTCGTCAAAAAAGTAAGGCTTACCCCTTGTTTGTTTTTCAATTTTGGTCAAAAAATTAAATTGCCTGAAAGTTGCTGGAAAGATGCCTAAAGGACCCTAGAATACATTCCAATTTGATAAATGGTTAGATGCGCTTTTGAAAATGAAATTTCGACGAAAATTTGGGGTAAAATCAGTCAAAAATTATATGATTTTTCTCTCTAAAAATCGATGATTTTTGCCCAAATCTTCAATATATTGGGTGTTTGAGTGCTGATTGATGCTCCTCTTGCCTTTTGAAGGATTTCTGAAGAGTTTGGAGAAAATTTATTTTTTGGCCAAATTTCGTCAAAAAAGTAGGTCTTACCCCTTGTTTTTTTTTCAATTTTGGTCAAAAAATTAAATTGCCTGAAAGTTGCTGGAAAGATGCCTAAAGGACCCTAGAACACATTCCAATTCGATTAATGGACAGATGTGCTTTTGAAAATGAAATTTCGACGAAAATTTGGGG